CTTTGGTTTCTGGGTATTTAAAAAAAATCTCTTAATTTTTTAACAAAAATATCTCAGACACCAAAGCCAGACTGTTTTTAATAGAAAATAATACGACCTAATGGAGATAGATTGCTAGAAGTGATTTACCAAATAAGATGAAGCATTTTTCGGAATGATTCGCTAATATCTTATTATTATACTTTTATGGAGCAATAGATCAAAAAGCAACTGTTTTGAGACAAATGCAAAGTTTTAGTTATATAACAAATACTTCAGACTCTAAAGCCAATTATTTTCTAGAATAGTACATCTCAACTTCTACAGAAAACAAAATCTGGTACTATGTCCATTTTTTCTGCAGTTGAGTCCAGATTTTTCAGGTATGAAAAAATACTAAATACAATGACACTCAAAGGGCAGATTTTTTGATATCAAAATAATAATTCTGAATCCGAGGTAAGATTTTTTTGTACTACTTTGTCCCTATTTGTTCTATAGACAAAATCTTGGCTCATTGCCATTTTCTGAAAACAGATTCCTCTATGGAAAAAGCTGTACTGAATTGTGCCTAACATAATTCTGCAGAACACGAATACATATTTATTAAAAAAAATAACTCAGATACTGAGGCCAGATATTTTTGTGTAGAAAGAATTATTTTCGTCTCAAAAATTGAGGATAGATTTTTCCTAATACTCAGGCCAGATTTTTTAAAGAATATTTTCGAAGGACTTTACGTCCAACAAGCGTGGATTCTCTAAAAAAAAAATATTTTCGAACGACTATACGACCACTAAGGGTGGATTTTTTAAAATATTTTCGAAGGAATAACAGATCACCATTCGTGAATTTTTTAAAAAAAATTGTTTGAAGGAATATCAGATAACCAAACTTTTTTTTACAAAATATTTACAAAGGACTATGAAGGACAATACGACCACTAAGGGTGGATTTTTGAAAAAAAAAATATTTTCGTAGGACTATTTTCAAAGGACTATCCGAACACTAACCGTGGATTTTTTAAACGATATTGTCAAGAACTTCGGATTTTTTTAAATTTGTTTATAAATATTTTCTAACCGAAATATTTCCGATTTCGAAGGACAATACGAAGACTAATGATGGTTTTTTTCTAAAAATATTTTTGAAGAACAAGCGTGGATTTTTTTAAAACTATTTTTAAAGGACTATTTGATCACCAACCGTGATTTTTTTTAGAAATATTTTCGAAGAACAAAACGACCACTAAGAATGGATTTTTAAATATTTTTTTTCGAACGACAATTCGAACACTAAGCGTGAATTTCTTAAAAAAATATTTTCGAACGACAATTCCAACACTAAGCGTAGTATTGTTTAAAAATATCGTCGAAGAACGTTCCGATCACAAAGAGTAGGTTTATAATACAAATAAAAATCTCGGTATACCTAAGGTCCCACCTGTAGTAATTAGGCCATTTTTTTATAGATAGAAAATCCTATCTCAGTTACTGAGCTGACTTTTTCTATTAGAAAAAATAGACCTCACTTAGGTGGTGAGGTAACTTTTTATACCCTTCACCACACTGTGGTACAGGGTATTATGTCTTAGTGCATATGTTCGTAACAGGCAAAAGGAAACGAGATAGACACATGGTTCCTTTTGAAAATAAGCATAGAATCAATTTTTAAATCGTCCGTCTGTCCATGTTAAATTGTAAACAAAGTACAGGTCGCATTTATTATCCGATTTGGATGAAATTTGGCACAGCTCACTTATTTGGCCCAAGGACAAACCCTATTGAAATTGGTTCAGATTTAGATATAGCTCCCATATATATTTTCGTCCGATTTAAGGTAAATGGGGCACCAAAGACCCTATATATGTTTCGATTTGCACGAAATTTGGCACAGCGTACTGAATTAGTTCCAGAATAATGTATGCGAGAAAATCGGTTCAGATTTAGATATAGCTCCCATATATATTTTCGTCCGATTTTATGTAAATGGTGCACCAATGTCCCTATATATCATCCGATTTGCACGAAATTTGGCACAGCGTAATGAATTAAGGGTAGAGTGATGTGTGTTAAGTTTCCTGAAAATCGGTTCAGATTTAGATATAGCTCCCATATATAGTTTCGTCCTATTTTCAGTAAATGGTGCACCAATGTCCGTATATATCATTAGATTTGAACGAAATTTGGCACAGCGTACTGAATTGAGTCTAGAATGATGTGTGCTAAGTTTCGTGAAAATCGGTCCAGATTTAGATATAGCTCCCATATATGTTTTCGTCCGATTTTATGCAAATTGTGCACCGAAGTCCATATATATCTTTCGATTTGCACGAAAATTGGCATAGCGTAGAATGATGTGCGATAAGCTTCGTGAAAATCGTTCCAGATTTAGATATAGCTCTCATATATATTTCGTCCGTGAAAATCGGTTCAATGAAATTAAATTTAGCATAGGTCCCAGAAAGGCATAAAGATCTTATGTTCGTTCAATTTGATGCCAATGTTCTGTCGAAGAGGCGGAGTCTGTTAGGAGACATATGTAGAATATACCCAAAGTGGTGAAGGGTATTATATAGTCGGCCCAGTCCGACTTTACTTTTTTCCTCACTGGTTTCTATAAAAAAAATCGACCTCAGTTAACGAGTTGACTTTATTCTAGTGAAAAAATTCGACCTCCGTTAATGAAGTATTTTTTTTTCTATAGAAAAAATCCGACCTCGGTTAATGAGGTGACCTTTTTTTAGAAAAAAAAACCTCACTTAATTAGGTGATTTTTTATAGAAAAAGTCCGACCTCAGTTAACGCAATGAAAAAAATCGAACTTAGTTAATAAGATGAATTTTTTCTATAGAAAAAATCCGACCTGTCGCAACTAAAACACCCTTCGTTGTATATGCCTTTCTTTCACCACGTTGTTGTGTGATCAAACATTTTTCTTAATAATTCGTTGATTCCGACAAACACCCTATAATAATCGTGCGATGATCCGAACTTGAATGTTTGGCTTTGTTTGTTTGCTTGACGATGTCATGTTTGGGGGTTTCTCTCGTTTTCGGTTTAGGTGTCTGTCCATTGTTTACACTTTTTATTTATTGCCGTTATTTGTTTGTTTTTCGTGGTGTTTTTTTTTTTTTAATTTTTTGTTTTTGTTTTCAAATCTTAATTTTGTTACACCCTCTTTCCCCACAAAGTGCGGGTTTTTTGTAATCTTGTCTTCTCTCTTTTTCATTGCTTATTCTTCTTTGCACTACAAAGTTGATGGGTATTTTTGTTTGACAATATTTGTCATTACTGTTGTTGTTGTTTTTGTAGGAAGTAAACAAACCAAAACAAAAACAACAACAAACTGAAATATATTTACAAAGAATCTGAGACAAAAAACAATTCAAGTTCAGGGTTATGTTTGTGTGTCTCTCATAAAACAAAAGCGTTTTTTGTTTATTTTTTTGGAATTACGCCGGTTTTATAGACCCACGGAAGCTTTAGGTGTTTTTTGGAGATTATCGTAGTTGAGATTATTGCCGCTACCCCTAAGGGGTTTATTCGTGGAAATTAATCTTACACAGCGATTATCTTTAAATTTATTGAATTTGTTTTTTTTTAATTTCTAATAAATAGTGAAAAAAATCTGATCGAACTTACCTTCCAGCCCGCACTACTTGTCGAATCACCTTTATCCTTAAAATATGGAACATTGTGCACCATCCATTCATAGATTTGACTTAGCGTCAAACGTTTTTCACTGGCCGAGCCAATGGCGTGCGTTATCAGATCAGCATATGAGAGATTGCCCCAGGCATTGCGGCGTGATGAATTCTTTTTGGCGGCATTCACACTAGGAACATTGGTTTGTTGTGAGTCTGGAAATACAAAAAAGAAACAAAAGATATTAAATATAATAGAAAATTTCTAGAAAAAAAAACCTCAGCTACCTAACTCGAAATTTGTTCTATGACATGGAAAAAACTTAGCTACTGAGGTCGGATTTTTTTTCATAGAAAAACAGTGGTTTTTAGTTTTCCGATATTTTACCTCGGCAACTACAGTCTCCAATTCTTTTTTTTATAAAAAAGCGACCTCATTAACTGAGGTCTCCCATTAACTGAGGTCTTCGATTTTTTCTATGGAAAAACCGTGAACTTATTAACAGAGGTCTCCGAATTTATTTCTATAGAAAAAAGCGACCTTAGGAACTGAGGTCTCCGATTTTTTTCTGTAGAAAAAATCGACCTTTGAAACTGACGTTTCCGAACCTTTTTTCTATAGAAAAAAAGCGACCTCAGTAACTGATTTTTTTCTGTAGAAAAAAACCGACCTCAGTAACTGAGGTCTCCGAATTTTTTTCTATAGAAAAAAATAAGCGACCTCAGCATCTGAGGTCTCCGAATTTTTTCCTATAGAATAAAAAAAGCGACCTCAGTAACTGAGACCTCAGTTACTTGGAGACCTCAGTTACTGAGGTCGCTTATTTTTTTTTCTATAGAAAAAATTTCGGAGACCTCAATTACTTATTTTTTCTATAGAAAAAAATTCGGAGACCTCTCAGTTATTGAGATCGCTTATTTTTTTATAGAAAAAAAAATCGGAGACCTCTCAGTAACTGAGTTCGCTTATTTTTGTCTATAGAAGAAAATTCGGAGACCACAGTTACTGAGGTCGCTTATTATTTTATATTGAAAAAAATTCGGAGACCTCTTTTTCTATAGAAAAAAACACGCAACCTCAGTAGTTGAGGTCTCTGAATTTTTTTCTATATAAAAAATAAGCGACCTCAGTAACTGAGGTCTCCGAATTTTTTCTATAAAAAAAATTAGCGACCTCAGTAACTGAGGTCTCCGAATTTTTTCTATAAAAAAAATTAGCTACCTCAGTAACTGAGGTCTCCGAATTTTTTCTATAGAAAAAAATAAGCGACCTCAGTAACTGAGGTCTCCGAATTTTTTCTATAGAAAAAAATAAGCGACCTCAGTAACTGAGGTCTCCCAATTTTTTCTATAGAAAAAAATAAGCGACCTCAGTATCTGAGGTCTCCGAATTTTTTCTATAGAAAAAAATAAGCGACCTCAGTATTTGAGGTCTCCATATTTTTATACCCTTCACCACACTGTGGCACAGGGTATTATGTCTTTGTGCATATGTTTGTAACATGCTAAAGGAAACGAGATATACCCATGGTTGCTTTTGAGAATATGCATAGAATCACTTTCTGAGTCCATTTATGCATGTCCGTCCGTCTGTAGATGTTAAATTGTAAACAAAGTACAGGTCGCATGTATGATTAGATTTGGATGAAATTTGGCACAAGTCACTTATTTGACTCAAATTGAAATTCAAGAATCGGGTCAGATTTAGATATAGCTCCCGTATATAGTTTCGTCCGATTTTATGTAAATGGTGCCGCGAAGTCCCTATATAACTTTCGATTTGCACGAAATTTTGTATAGTGTACGGAATTGAGTCTTGAATGACGTGTATTAAGTTTCGAGAAAATTGATTCAGATTTAGATATAGCTCCCATATATAGTTTTGTGCGATTTTATGTAAATAATGCACCAAAGTCCCCATATATCTTTCGATTTGCTCGAAATTTGGCATAGGGTATTGAATTGTGTCTAGAATGAAGTGTGCTAAGTTTCATGAACATAGGATCAGATATAGCTCCCTATATAGTTTCGTCTGATTTTATGTAAATGATGCACCAAAGTCCCTATATATCTCTCGATTTGCACGAAATTTGGCATAGGATGCTGTGTTCAAAGTTTCAGATCAGATTTAGTTATAGCTCCCGTATATATTTTCGTCCTATTTAATGGAAATTGATTGACACAACGTACAGAAATTAAAATTCCTTCGAAAAAGCCGACGTCCGTTAGGATACAAATGTTGAATATACCCAAAGTGGTGAAGGGTATCATATAGTCGGCCCAGTCCGACTTTACTATTTTTTTTAATATTAATATTTTTTATAAAAAATCCAATTTCATTTTTATTTACTTATTTCAATAATTTATGATCACTCACCTCCTCCAGCCAATTGTTGATTACTGGCCTTTGTACTCTCCAACTCATCGGGTGGCTCTACAAAATTTTCTGGTCTTGGGCAGGGCCAGGTATTCGAACGGGCTCTGGTCTGTGGCTCAAAGCCACTTTCATGTAATTCCGCCACCAAATCCATATGCAGACCACTGGTATCGGTGCGTGGTGGCGTTGTCCATTCATGGGCAAAGCCGTCCATTATATTGGCGTATGGATCGTTTAATAGTTGCAGGTTTGTGCTGGGTACGCAAAAAAATGATTTGTACACGACGATACCGGCGTCAAAAGGGTCAAAGCCAGCCAACCAGTTACCCAAACTAGAGCACACAATAGGAGATGAGCAGCGGTTGGCCTAAATTCCAAGTTCCAAATTTTCAAGAACAGTGCTGCAAAAAATTAGGAAAAATAAAAAAATGAATATTTGAGGTGTAATATGGTGTATATTTTGAACACCGCAATATAAGAACATTATGTAAAATTGCTGTCAAACATTTGAGCAAATATAATAGCGTTGGTAGATAGCTAGGTACTTTAGTAATAAATAAAATAAATATTTAAAAACAAATGCACACCAAGATAAGGTAATGGCGAACAGTGTAATAAATACTCAAGTGCATTTTTTACAAAACGTGTAACGGGTACAATGGAGGGCAAGGTTGGAATTAGATTTTAGTTCGTTTTCAGATATTTTTTCTTTGGACAAAATTTTACAGCAAACGAGGGACAATTGACGCTATGGAAAAAAACTGCATCTACCTTAAAAACCCCAGAGAAATGAGATCGATTTTTTTATAGAAAAATTTACCTCATTAATGAGGTCGAATTTTTTCTATAGAAATAATACCACTGAGGTCGTGAATTTTTCTTTAAAAAAATTGTCTCCAAATCTGAGTAAAAAGTACTTCATATACTGTCTCAGTTACTGAGAAAATTTGTTAGAGAAAATTTGGCACCGGACCTTACCAATGCGGCTTCTGATCTGGCAAATCCACCACAGACCTGATTTTCATACTGAGCCAAATCCTGAAAAAAACCCACGAAAAACACATCGACATTTCCACCTATTCTTCGACTATAAAGCCGCATTCGACAGTCCCATCGACATAGTCAGTCGTATCGAGCTGCAGCGGCTAGGTCTATAGAAACTGAGGTCTCAATTTCTTTTCTATAGAAAAAATAGCTCATATACTGTCTCAGTTAGTGAGGTCTGATATTTAGGTCTCGGATTTTTTTATATAAAATCTGAGGTCGGTTTTGTTTCTATAGAAAAAAATGCCATTTAACTGAAGTCAAATTTTTATACCCTTCACCACACTGTGGTACAGGGTATTATGTCTTTGTGCATATGTTTGTAACAGGCAAAAGGAAACGAGATAGACACATGGTTCCTTTTGAGAATATGCATAGAATCACTTTCTGAGTCGATTTATGCATGTCCGTCCGTCTGTCCGTCCGTCTGTAGATGTTAAATCGTAAACAAAGTACAGGTCGCATTTATGATCTGATTTGGATAAAATTTGGCATAAGTCACTTATTTGGCCCAAGGACGAACCCTATTGAAATTGGGAAAAATCGGTTCAGATTTAGATATATATATTTTCGTCCGATTTAAGGTAAATGGGGCACAAAAGTCCCTCTATATCTTTCGATTTGCATGAAATTTGTGTGCCAAGTTTCGAGAAAATCGGTTCAGATTTAGATATAGCTCCCATATATAGGTTCGTCCGATTTAAGGTAAATGGGGCACCAAAGTCCCTCTATATCCTTCGCTTTGCATGAAATTTGGCATAGAGTACTGAATTAGGTGCAGAACGATGTGTGCCAATTTTCCAGAAAATCGGTTCAGATTTAGGTATAGGTCCTATATATAGGTTCGTCCGATTTATGGTAAATGGTGCACCAAAGTCCCTATATATCATTCGATTTGCACGAAATTTGGCATTGAGTACTAAATTAGGTCCAGAATAATGTGTGCCAAGTTTCGAGAAAATCGGCTCAGATTTAGATATAGCTCCAATATATAGTTTCGTCCGATTTAAGGTAAATGGTGCACAAAAGTCCCTATATATCATTCGATTTTCACGAAATTTGGCATAGAGTACTGTATTAGGTCCAGAACGATGTGTGCTAAGTTTCGTGAAAATCGGTTCAGATTTAGATATAGCTCCCATATATAGTTTCGTCCAATTTAAGGTAAATGGTGCACCAAAGTCCCTATATATCATTCGATTTGCACGAAATGTGGCATAGAGTACTGAATAAGGTCCAGAATGATGTGTGCTAAGTTTCGTGAAAATCGATTCAGATTTAGATATAGCTCCCATAAATAGTTATTTCCGATTCTATGTAAATGGTGCACCAAAGTTCCTATATACCTTTCGATTCGCATGAAATTTGGTACAGTGTACTGAATTAAGTCTAGAATGATGTGTGCTAAGTTTCGGAAAATTCAGGTTCTGGTTCGATATAGCTCACACATGTACATATATATTCGTCCGATTTTACATAAATCGTGCACCAACCTTCTAATGTTTGTCCGATTAACACGATTTTTTGCACAACGTATCAAGTTGAGACTTGAATAACGTTATAGCGTTTTGTTGAAATTGATGTAGATGCTGTCATAGCTTCCATATGATATCGAATGGATGTCTGAATGAAATTAAAATTTTAACAGTGCGGCGACCGAATAGCGTGTATTAATTTTGCTATAAGTCGTTTTTCATAAATTTGTCCCATGGTACGAAGTCGACTTTAAACCTGCCCGAATGAAATTAAATTTATCATCGGTTGTAGAAAGACTTGCGTATGTTCCTTGGAGGGGATACATATGTTCAATATACCCAAAGTGGTGAAGGGTATCATATAGTCGGCCCAGTCCGACTTTACTGCTTTCCTTACTGGTTTTCTATAGAAAACTATTTTTTCTGTGCATTTGGCTATCAAATAACTTTTGTATACAAAAGTAAAAAAAAACAACAACAAATTGCCATTTAATATTATTTGGAATGTCAATCTGTGTCACGATTAGACGAGTCGTTTGTTTTTCACATTTCAATGTTAGGCGGATTTGTTTGGTATTATTTGCATTTAATTTTTTTTTTTTTTGTATTTTTTTTTGAAATGTTGATGATCGAGCTGAGGAACAATTTAGCAGTTATCAGATAATTAATAAACAATTCGCATTTTCTTTGTACAGATTTCGTGGCTGAGTGTGTTTGTGTGTATGTGTGTAGAAGTGTTATGCCTGTTTAATTTATTCGGAAGAAAAAAAAGGCACATATAAAATTGTGATGAGAGTTCGGAACTCATCACAAAACAGATTTTTTTTTTTATTTTCAACATTTGCTATTTTAGGTCATTGAGCTGTCAATAAATTGTATAAACAATATAAAATAGCATCCATGATGTATGTATGGGTGTTTAGAAGGAATACATAAAAAATTGAAATTGTAAACGAATATGGATGAAAACAAAGGTTTTTTTCTATAGAACAAATATAGGAAACCTCAGTTAAAGAGGTAATATTTCTATAGAATAAAATCGGAGACTTCAGAGGTCATTTCTTCTATAGAAAAAAAATCGGTGTAATCAGTTATTGAGATAATTTTTTTCTATAGAAAAAAAATTGGAGACCACAGTGATTGAGGCAGCAACGTACACAGGATTTCATTTCGGGGGGGGCCCGGTAGTACAAAATGAAAAAATCGCTGTTGGAAGCATATATTTACTGTGAAAAAAATTCATTTCGGGGGGGCCCAGGCCCCCAGGGCCGCCCCCCTGCGTACGTCCCTGGATTGAGGTCATTTTTTTTGATAAAAAAAAATATTTTTTAAAATATCTACGCCTGAGAAAAGTCTTGAAAAATATATTTTTTTAAATCCACACTTAAGCATAGCCTTGAAAAATATATTCTTTTAAATCTGCACTTAAGCATGGCTTTGAAAAATATTTTTTAAAACATTCACGCCTAAGGTTAGTCTTGAAAAATATATATTTTTTAAATCTACACCTAAGGATAGTCTTGAAACATACTTTTTGTAAATCCTCGCCTAAGCATAGTCATGAAAAATATGTTTTAAAAAATCCACGCCTAAGGATATTCTTCGGGTGGCATAGAGGATGATAGATACCAAGCAACGGCTCTGATTGGCCTTAACATGACCAAGTCCAGGCTTATCTTGGTCCCTCTTTCATCTCAATTGTGGACACTGACCTCCCCGTGGTGCCACCTGGGGTAACTATTTTCCTCACCCAATGATGAAATAGTGAGCTAATATGTGCCGCGACTTCACCCATAAGAACTATAAAAAATGCGTTGAGGCGTCGGGTTAGTTGCCTACACTCGGAAAACCAAACCTACTATGAAAAAGCAAAGAAAAAGAAAACCAAACCCACGTAATGTTGACGACCCCCGCAAACGTATAATGGAAGAAACCTACTCCGCTCAACTTACCCAACTGCTTGACGAAAACACCCCTTGTCCCGATAATTATATGGAAGCACAGTGGCAGAGAATTGCCCTCTCCCTACAAACTGAAACAAAAACAACACTTGGGTACCAAAGACCACCATCAAGAAATCCGTGGTACGATCAGGAGTGTCGTAATGCTATTGCAACCCAGCGGACAATGGCAACTTGTAATGCGATGGAGAACTATCGGGAGAAAAGGAGAGAGGAGAAACGTATTTTCAGAAAAAGAAAAAAGAAAAGCAAAAAACGTGAGCGAGAGCTGAGAATCTGGAAGGAGAATTTTGAAAAACTTCTGGTATCAAATAGTAGCGATGAAGAGAATACCCCAGAACCGATAATAGATGACGGTATAGAGTGTAAAGCTAGAATAATAAAGCAACAGGTTACAAGCCGAAGACTGGTGGTCAGATGCTGGTAAGGAGCATGCACCGGCTGATTAGTACAATTTGGCTAGAAGAATGCATGCCCAATGATTGGAACCTCAGCATTCTGTGTTTCCTTCCCATCGCATATAATGTGCTATCCAGCGTACTGTGTGAAGGACTGAAGCCAATGTTCAATGGCATTATTGGACCAATGCGGCTTCAGACCTGGCAAATCACCATGAACCAGATTTTGTCCCTGCGCCAAATCCTGGAAAAAACCCACGAAAAACACATCCACACATTCCATCTATTCGTCGACTATAAAGCCGCATTCGACAGCCATATCCGTTCAGAGGTATATAAAGCCATGTCTACGTTTGGCATTCCTGCAAAAATGTTCAA